GGTGAGTAGGGGGAGCAGGGGGGATCACCCAGGTGTCGGGGACCCCCGGGCAGGCTGAGCGCAGGGTGGAGGGACAGCCCTGGGAACCCAGAGCCCTGCTGACCACCGCGGGTGGCTGAAGTGCTCCGGGGTCAGCGCAGGGACGCAGCCCTGCGTGGGGGGACCTGTCTGGGGACCACGGGGCACATCCTGGGGGGCAGCCCTGGGAGATGGAGATGGGGAGGGGGTCCCGCCCCCCCCCGTCCCCTTGCGGCTCCCCAGGGCTGGATGACCCCTACCAGCACGGACGTGGCGTGGCGCTGGGGGACTTCAACCGCGACGGCCGGGTGGACATCGTCTACGGCAACTGGAACGGGCCGCACCGCCTCTACCTGCAGAGTGGGGGCCCTGGGCGTGTCCGATTCCGGGTGAGAGCAGGGGCCAGGACCCCCCCACCGCCGACTTTGCTGCTGAGCCTCTGGTCTGGGGGTTCTTGGCTTCACCCCGATTTGGCTTTGAGTCCCAATTCCCAGCGAGGAGGGGACCCAAAGCACAAAAGCGGGACCCAGTGTCCCCCTCCCTGTGCCCCTTGTCACCCTGTGCCCATCCCTCGCACAGGACATCGCCACCCCCAAGTTCTCCATGCCGTCCCCTGTCCGCACCGTCATCGCGGCTGACTTCGACAACGACCAGGAGCTGGAGGTCTTCTTCAACAACATCGCTTACCGTGGCTCCTCCGCCAACCGCCTGTTCCGGTAGCAGCCTGGCGGGTACCGGGGGGCCTGGGGCAGCCCACACCCAACTGTGGGGGCCAAGCAGCCCTCATGGCACAACTGGGATCACGGGGCTTCTCTCCAGCAGTGCCACTGCTTGGGCTCGGCTAATAAAAGGCGCCGTGACTGGGCCCTTCCCGGCGTCATTAGTGGCCACCACAACCGTGCCTGCAGCAGCCCCCGGGGTCCCTGGTGCCGCTGATTAGCAGCCGCGTGGAAGCTTGTTCAAGGCTCCTGTTAATTGTGGGGGTCAATTCCTCGTTACCGCTGCGTGTGCCTCCTCGCCTGGCATGTGGGGCGGTGGGAGCTGGTTGTCCACCCATTGCCAGCACCCGTGGGTGGGTGGAGGGCAGGGGCATGGCAGTGAGCCCCTGCGGGGG